TGATCCAGTCTGCTATAGCTGAAGGTTTCCCAGTTGATCTTCTTAATTTAGTGTTAGCATGCAGGTTAATGGATGACGGTGATGGGAATGTTTTGCAAATGTCATAAATGAATCAAAGTATTCATCAAGTTAAAGAAAATTTCAAGCTTAACTGTACCCCATACAATAGTCTCATGGCCGTTTTCTCAGATCCTGTCAATGAGTCGTTACAGCCATAGCATTACTTAATGTATGAGAAATTTCTGTTTTTGTCAGTTTTACTTGGAGGCAAAACAGGACTTAAGCACAGGGTTCCTCCAATACAGGGAATTTATTTACAATGAAAATGTGCAATAACTACAGTCTTGCTACAACAGGCTTGTCCACAGATGCTTGAGCTGGGAGAAATGAAAAGTGTTATGGATCTTCATATTACAGAGCAAGAGTAGATGAGCAAACAAAGGGTTAATCATTGATTGAATCGTGAAAGAGCCAGTATAATTAGATGCACGTTTCTTAGATTCAGTTCGCAGTGGGATATTTTCTGCTGATAAATCTGACCTGTTTGATAAGGTGTAGCTGAGATCCTGTGACAGTCGCCAAGGTGTTTATTCTGTCCCTCGATTTGGAGCAGAGTGGCACGGGTGGACCTCATACATGGCGGCAATTGCGAAGGTGAGGCTTGATAGAGGCAACATAGTGCTCACCTTCTATCACTGGCAGGAATGCAGATCGTATTCCTTGCTCAGGTACCAATGGACACAGACCAGTGGCTGAAGAAGTCAGATTATTGGCATACTCTATTTAGGAACGAGTGGAAAACGTGAGTGAACAAGAAATCCTCAATGCATAATGGGAAGCCCCGAAAAGCCTAATTCTTTTGCAATGTAAATAAGCGTTAGGGGGATCTCTCACCTCACGCCCAACTGGTCACGGCAGATGGCTGCCCCTCACTGAGCCTGGTTCTGCCAGGTTTCTTCCTGTTAAAAGGGAGATTTTCCTTCCCACTGTGGTCAAGTGGTTGCTCATAGGGGGTCATCATACTAAATATTAGAGATGGACCGATCCGATATTACATATCGGTATCTGTCCGATACTGACGTAAATTACTGGATCGGATATCGGAGAAAAATAAAAAATGTAATCCGATCCATTAAATATGCTCACGTGATGGAGTGGCTGTGTGTATTTGTAGCCTTGCTACCAATCCGGCATTTCATCTCCGAGGAAGTGATCCCAGAGAGAAGTAAAGCAAGTGTGTAAGTTCATCTCTGAATGTTTGTAAAGCATTCCCGCGTTAAGCTTAACAAACGATATATGGAGTGACTGCCTCTTCCCTCCCCCTCCATCTCCTGCTGCTACTTCAATCATGAAACTGATCAGTGAGCAGCTGATCGGCTTTTCTGTCGCGAGTCCGTCTCTCTTGTTTGTTTATCTCCCACTTTGCACCAGAAAGAGGAAACCAGCGGCTGAATAACAGCAGCACGTTTAAGCTTGATAATCTGTTGTTAGAATTTATTTAATATTACTTTCTAGACCAGGATCCCCTGCACAGTTACCAGCTGTAGCTGACGCTGGTAACTGTGCAGGGGCGGATCTAGCAAAGTTTAGCCAGGGGGGCCGATAGGGCATTAACAGAGAAAATGGGGCACAAAGACATACTTTTCTTTCTTATTCTCATTTAAAATGTCTAGCTTTTATTAAATAATTATCTGAATCTTACACCCAAAGTTTTAATCTGATGTAAAATGAATAGAAGTCCATTACTGTATATAGTAACTATTATGTCTAATATACCCTAGCAAGCTATAGTACTTTTTCCTTTGGGAAGGTACCATCTGTGCAGTCTGCAGTTCTGTTGAAGAAAGATGTTGAATCTATTTAATTATTCTTGAAAAATAATTTATTTCTGTGCATTTTTTTTCACACTGCATCAAATTAAAGTTGATTACGTCGATTAAGCAACATGAGGTGGAAGGTGGGGGGTGGTTCCTTATTTTTTCGTTTTTTTGTTTTTTTTTTTGCTGGGAATTTTAGAGCCCTATTAGTTAGGGTGCTTACTCTTTAAAATACCAGAATAGGGAGGATGGAGTAGGTTTAAGTTTATTAGATTGATCAGTATTGCTGAACTATGAAATATTTTGGGTGCAGTGCATTTTTTGCATACAGGTATAACAGAATAGCTTTAGTGGGGGTTTTTTTGGGGGTTTTTTTTTAACTTGAGTATGAACTTATACAAAAAGCAGCAAGATATTTAAAAAACTGTTTTATTGATTAAAAAAACACACTATATCGGATTCATATCGGTATCGGCCGATATCCAAATTTATGATATCAGTATCGGACATAAAAAGTGGTATCGTGCCATCTCTACTAAATATCACATTTTCATAAATCTAGAGCATCAAAATAATGGTAAAAAAATTCTTAATAGTATAAACCAGTATAGCTGAGCATCACAAATTTTCACAAATCAAATCAATAAAGCAAATCAACCAAAGTGGCCAGACCAACACACACATCAAGAAATTCAGTGACTGAACATAACAATTCCCACAAAGCAAGAATTTATTGCAAGCCTGTTGTATTACACCGCATTAGTTTTATTAGATTGGTAGAGCAGATTCTAAAAGCATCCTGTCAGAATTCATTTATCCCACCGTCCACACATGTTAACTCTCGTGTGTTTAGTTACCAAAGTAAATGAACTATATTCTCCACATTTAATTACATCTATTTAGTCTACTGTGCCATGTGACAGTGTAATTGAGCTCAGTTATCTTTCAGTTGTTGATGACAGGTCAATTTCCTCCTGCCAGACTAAACCTTAACATGTTCCCAACTGTAAGACACAGTGCTACAGCAGATCTCATATTCATGACAACATAAAACTATCAAACGTAACAATGATTCAGATAAGGGAAATGTTTCTCCTTTGAACACCCTTTTGAGTGTTAATGTTCAAGTTAACAAATGTTACTATGCTATAACTAGTCAATACATGTGTTGTATTTGTTCTCAATGTTAGAGGAGAATATGATGTCACACAGTCTTCCAGTCTATATTCGAGTTTTTAAATGTGTTTCAATAATTGTTGAAGCTGTTATAGCTGAAAATCCTCCCAAGACAGATCTTTTTCTTCTAATTTTGTGTTTCTGATATATCTAGAATAGAATAGAATAGGCTTTGTCAATGTGCAATACAATAGTGCACAATAGTACAAATCCAATATCACATCCACAAGTCCAATAACAGTTACTTTTATTGATGTTGACATGGCAATATGCTTCATATTTAATCTTTTCAGTCTATATATTCTCAGAACAACCCTTTCATGGCCTGGTGAGTCTCTTTTAATTGCATTTCTTGCCCAACCAAAAGTTTGTTTTCTTGTCCTTAAGACTTTTTAGTTAATACATTATTTGTAAATTACTCTAATGATCTAAGTCTTTTATTTGCAACCTCACTTAAATTTAATCCAAGCTATAAATTAAAAAAAAAAATACAGTTTTGTATTGCTAATAGAACAGCAGGTGTGCAGACAATCTGAAGTATATACAGTAATTCAATAGAAAATGTTGTTGTTCATGCATTTTTTTAAACTATTCTCTGAATGGTGTTTCCATTTTAAACATTATTTCAGGATATTGGTCGCACAGTCTTCATTCGTGTTTTTATAAGTTTGACAAAAACTGATAAAAACATCTCTTAAGCAATGGCATTTATCCACCACACACCAGGTTTTATATATTAGTTAAATCTAATCATGGATAAACCCCCCATAGATTGACCCTGTACAATGTATGCAACACAGGTGTCGAACTCAAGGCCTCAAAGGCCGGTGTCCTGCAGGTTTTTGATGTCCTTGATACAGCACAGCTGATTTAAATGGCTAAATTGCCTCCTCCACATGTCTTGAAGTTCTTCAGAGGCCTAGTAATGAACTAATCATTTGATTCAGGTGTGTAGACCCAGGGTGTTGTCTAAAAACTGCAGGACACCGAACCTCGAGGCCTGGAGTTTGACACCCCTGCTGTAAAACGACAAAAGAAAACCTAAACTGTGACACCTAAATTGTCAAGACCCTGTGGATGTACTTGAGTGAATTACATTTGTGGCTTTACTTGTAAAAGTCAAAGTAGGTGGTTCCACAAAGTAAATTTAACCTGGAAGTGTATTACGTTATACCAGGAAGAAAAAAAAACTGTGTATATATTAACTTCACATATTGCTAAATGCCTGACAGGTCCCCAGAAGAGTCTTTCTAGCACAGTCTGCGAACTCTTTGTCTGATCATTTGACAACACTGCTTAGGTCTTTTACACAACTTCTTTCAGCTGCTTGCTTTAGAGGTCACCGGAGCAGAGGTCTACCACCATCTCACCATATTCCAAGCATCCGCTTCTGTCACACAAGCCCTCTTGTCCTCCTTTATCCATGAATTTGCTAGGCCTTCCTCTTCTCTTCCTGCTAGGCACTCCATATTCCACATCCTTTGTCCAGTGTATCCACTGTCCCTCCTCTGCACATGTCCAGACCATTTCAGTCTTGCCTCTCCTCCAGTCTCATTGTCACAACACACCACCATCAGAATATCTTCCCAAGGGTAACAGGCCTGAAATATAAAAGATCCTCAAGAGGGAACCAAGTAGGCTTTGAAAGGGGAAAGAGTTAAGCAACTGAGCATCAGAAGAGTGTTTCGCCCTCTTGTGATTAATGAAAAGAACACTTGCACAACTGGACGTTACTGCATTGTTTTGTAATTATTTGAAATAAGTTTAAACCTTAAAACATTCTTGAAAACATATTTACTTACCACCCAACTTAACCAGAAAAAAAATCTTATTGACTCAAAAAGTAAAGGCAGAGTATTTGCATCCACAGACCTTTTTTACTTATACACAAGCAATTTATTTTACTGTCAAATATAAGGGCTCATATCCAAGCCAAGGTCAGCAGAAATTACTTATTCTTTTGCGAAACGATTATTCTATTGCAAAAGTATTACAGTCAGTGCACAGTCATATTGTTGTCATCTCCTTGCCATTACTGGTGCTCTTGGTGTCCACATTAGTGATACTCTTCTTGGTAGTCGGATCCTCGCTGATAAAGTGGAGGATGTTACGCAGGGAGCGGTTCATGCTGTCTTTGAAGCTTTGACCCAGACACACATAGAGCAGAGGGTTGAGGCAGCTGTTGAAGTAAGCCAGGAAGAGCGCTACAACATGTGCCAGGTGAAGTTTGGGGCTCGCAGAGGAAACCCGAGAGGTGGTCAGCATGAGGAAAACCACAATGTGCAAAGGTATCCAGCACAAGAAGAAGCTCAGCACCACAGCGATGACGACCCTCAGGGTTTTCTTGGATCCAGTCCGACTACGTGTCATTCTCCTCTGTGTCTTGCTGAAAACCACCAAGTGACAAACTAGAATAACCAGGAAAGGAATAATGAATCCAATCAGGAAGCGAAAAGCAGAGATAGGCCAGGCACTGTCTACAGTGTACTCCATCCTACACTCTCTCTTCTCGTCACCTGCCACAATCTGCTTGGCGTACACAAACTGTGGGATACTGCCTATCAGGGCCAGGACCCACACAGCAACACATCCATAAGCACCCTGTTTGGGGCGCCTGTGGTTCTGACACCAGATGGGTCTAATGACCAGCAACAAACGATCCACGCTGATCACAACCAGCTGCAGGATGCTGCAGTACATCACCAGGTAAAACAGGCCTCTGATGAGCATGCAGGCCAGCGGACCGAAGTGCCAGTGATCGTCATGGACCAAAGGGACCATAAGCAAGGGGATGGAGAGGCAGCACAGAAGATCAGCCAGAGCGAGGTTGAGGAACCAGAGGGAGGTGACAGAGCGGGACATGCAGAACCCCGTCACCCACACCACCACAGCATTTCCAGGCACACCCAGCAGGACCACAAGGCTGTACATGACCAGAGCCACTATCTGGATCGGCTGAATCTCAGGAGTCACAGACTCAATAATCTCAGGAAATGTGTTATTATCATCAGGAAATGTGTAATTATCATCACTGTAATCCATGATTCCTTACAACTGTGAAGTATAGGGTATAGATTAGTGTCGTGCATAAAATTAACATTAGAATGAGAGAATGATTCATTCAACAATATCTGAACGTGAAAGTTCTAACCTACCGCCTACTGTGACGTCACAGCACGTTTTCCTTTGAAGTGTAAGATTAAAGGCATGTGAGGGCTTAAATACTCCTCAGGTAACAACCACTGCACCAACTGCACCTTCTAAAAGTCGCCTAAAGGTTTCACTATAGGTTCTTTATCATTAGGCAAGGCAACAACTGCACCTAGCGTTGAAAACAAATTTTAACAAAATTTATTGATTCAATAAGCTTCTACGAATCTCCAACCCAAACTCTCTGTAGAAATGCGGCGCTCAGTATTCAGCCGCACAACTTCTTCAGACACTGATGGCTTTGAGGAGCTTGACAGCTGTTATGTTGAGCCTGATGGGTTCCTTTTACCGATTTTCGATTCCAGAGATGAACAGTTACCCACCTCTGAAACACCTAAGGTTCCCGAAAATCCCCAACCAAATGACCAGTACAGTCATACAATTCCTTCAGATACTGATGTCTTTGATTGTACAGAATATTATTTTGAAGATGATGGGCCCGTTTTCCCGATTATTGATTCCAGAGATGAACAGTTACCCACCTCTGAAACAACTGAGGTTCCTACAAGTAGTGATGTCTGTGATAATCCCGACCCAGGAGACCAGTACAGTCATACAAGTCCTTCAGATACTGATGTCTTTGATTGAACAGAATATTATTTTGAAGATGATGGGCCCGTTTTCCCAATTATTGATGGCGGTGATGAACAGCTAGACACCTCTGAAACAACAGAGGTTCCCACAAGCAGTGAATTTGATGGATCTGAGGACAATGATAATGTTGTTAGAGGAAGTCTTCAAAAAGAGGAAGGAGAAACAATTTTTTCCCGAGCTCAAACAAGCCTTTCAGCTCTTTCTTCCTTTATTATGGTTCCAGTTGAGTCTGTGAGCTGAGGAGTAACTTATGTCACCGGCCAAATCCTTAATATTGGTCGAGCACCATTTACCTCCCCCACTAGTGAAACTGAACTGCCACCCACTTCTGAAACAGCTGAGGTTCCCACACCCAGTGTTTCTCTAAACACAGATGAAAAAGAACAATCACCCACATCAAAACAATTTGTAGATTCGAGGGACCGGTATGATACACCCGACTGGGCATTCTTGTTTGAACCTGAAAACACAACAAGGGAACAAAGATTAAATTTGATACCTGAAAGTGAGGAAAGAAACGAACAGTCCCCTCTCTGAAACAGCTGAGGTTCCCATAACCAGTGTTCATATGAACAACTCTGAAGATGAACAGTCTCCCACCAGTGAAACACAGGTTCCTACAGACAGTGTTTCTGTAGATATAACTGAAAATGAACAGTCACCTTCTGAAACAGCTGAGGTTCCTACAACCACTGTTTAAATGAACAACTCTGATGAAGACACGTCAACTAGTGACAGTTACAGCACTGATTTATTCAATGTTTACCCTCCAGAACCTTCAGCTATTAACAGATCTGAGGAGAATGAACAAACGAGCAATGCAAGTATTTTTTCCAGAGTTTACAGAAACCTTTCAGCTTTGTATTCATTTATTAGAGCTCCAGTTGAGTCTCTGGGACAAGGAGTACTTTTCGTCATCAGGTTCATCCTTACTATTTGTGGAGTACCGTTTACCTTATTGTTCAATATGTGTTCGGCAATTACTCGGCGTATGTTTCCACAGACGAATTTCATCCCTAATTCCTACACTGAGAAGATTCTTACGTGCACATTGTTGTGCAATTGTTGTAATTTTTTTCTTCCATGTATTGACAATTGCACTTATAATATTCTTCGGCATGAAAAGATCTAATTAGTTCAATCACTAATTTTAGCAAACAAACACCAATTGCTATAGCAACATTTTCACATGAAATTCAATATCCTTAACATATAATGACATCACAACTATCCCCCAGCCAGTCGCAGCAGATGGCTGCTCCTATGAGTCTGGTTCTGCTGGAGGTTTCTCTCTGTTAAAAGTGAGTTTATCCTCCCCACTGTCGCCTTAGTGCTTACTCATAGGAGATCATTTGATTGCTGGGGGTTTCTCTTTAATACTGTGCGGTTTTAACCTTACAGTATAAAGAGCTTTGAAGTGCCTGTTGTAACTTGGCACTATTAGATAGACTTCAATTGGCTTCAACTGACAAAACATTGAAAAAAAACAAAAAAAACCCCAATCAATAAATAAATAATGGTGTGTGTGTGTGTGTGTTTTTTTAATTTTTCTATACCAGGGTAAGTGCTAAAGCTTAATGGGTTACAATTATAGCCCATAATTGTAAGAATAATATGTGGCTTTTAACAGATTATTCTTGTAACAAATGTGAATGTGCTGAGTGGCTGTGGCACTGTGCACAGGATAAAACCTCTTGATTTTAGTGTCATGTAGTTCTACAGAACTAGATTCAGGCCAAAGATTGCATTTAAGTAACATTGGTGATTAGAAGCCAGTCTTTTGATCTTTTTGTTTTTGTTTTTTTAAAGTCTTTCTGATAAGGTTATTTTAAAGTTTGTTTTTTTAAGTCATAGACCTATTTATATTGGTTTCCCTGGTTTTAAACAGAAAATTTAAGCTCTTCATTAAAACAAATGCAGTGTTTACCTGTACGGGCACTGACAGCCACTAGAGGTCCCTTTACTCAACGTTTACATTCATCAGTAACTTCCTTCTCAAATGCTAATGCTTGCCAGATTAAATAGGCTTGTTAAGGGACAATATGTTTTGTTCTTAATATCAGATTATGTTATCTGTCTTTTTCATCATTCATATTTTATTGATGAGACTTTCGATGGAGGAGTAGCAAATACGCAAAGATTAACTGGTGATTTCTACAGGGTTTTTGCTGGCTGCATGTACAAAAACTCAGAAAGCCTTTCAAGAAGACAGAGTAAAGATGAATTTATAATACCTTCATTTAGACTGCGTATTTATCAGATTTTTGCTGACATTGACTCTACTTCAGAATATTTATATATTTTTGCGTTCAACGTTTGATAATGTGTCACGCGCAAAAGCATCAGGTCTAAGAGCCGTGCTTAGAGAATGCTTTGTAGTAAATCAGAAGAGTCGACTCCCATTGAGCGAGAGCCGGCTCCTCACTTTATTTCCTTTCGCAGCTATGCTCCAATCCCTCCATTTTGTGGCCAATCACATGTGAGGATATAGGATAATATCATTATCTGAAAAACAGAGAGGGTGAGAGACGCGGCAGTCAAGTGGAGTGTGCGTCTGTCCTCTCAGTAAGTGAGTGAGACAGACAGCGGTGAGGAGGGCTGTGCGAGTGCATCACAAAAACACATAAATATGCCTGACACCCGTAAACGAAGCAGCATCTGGCTGCAGTTTAAAGACTTTTTTGTCTCGGTCTCGTCTCAACTTTGTCTTGGTCTCGATACCATCTGGTCTTGGTATTGTCTTGGTCTTGGTTTAGGCGGTCTTGACTACAAGTCTAATGATCTCATCCACTTGCATATCTGGTGTGATCAGAGGTGGCAAAAGTACAGCTATTCGGTACAAGTCGTTCAGTTATTAGTGTTAAGAAATACTCCAGTAAAAGTTGAAGTATTAAACAGATTAAACTTCTTTACTCTTTGAGTACATTTCAGAGCCTCTTAAAAAGTACAGCATCTGAAATGCACTTAAAGAAAGTAAATGGGTCTAGTTTATGTTGCCTACATTGTTGAGGATGACTTTGCATCTAAACAGGAAAATGAGCACAGTCAGGGGCAGTGTTGGTCAAGTTACTTGAAAAAAGTAATCAGTAACTAATTACTGATTACTCCCCCCAAAAAGTAATCCCGTTACTTTACTGATTACTTATTTTCAAAAGTAATTAATTACTTAGTTACTTAGTTACTTTTTAAAAACACGATTTACAACCTGAAGAGGTGATAAAGTGATAGATCTTTCAGCCCAATTCTACTTTTTCTACATAAACCATCATACAAAATGTAATCAAATGGAAAAGTCTCTTTTTTTAACTTGTTTTATCAGTTTTAATCTTTTAACTTTATGCATCAAGCAAAACATTTAATTATATGCAACATTCTCTGACTTGAATAAATTAGTTTAACATTTAAACCTATTTTCTACACATTCCAGCACATAAAATAAATATTTTTTGTGTTTTCACTCACTCTTTCAAACAGATGCAAGTAAAACACAGCAGAAAATAAATAAAGTCAAAGACTCAGCGGTCCTTTTGCTCTATTTTCACCTGTAAAGCAGGAGCAGGGTAGGCGGAGGGTTACCCTGGTGTAGGTGTGCTGCGGTCAGTTGAAGAATCCGCGCGAGTGTCTCTGTGAGTTTCCCATCACGTCGTAGCTACTCGGTGCTTGCTCGGAAGTTTAGGGGTTTTTTTCGCTGTAAAAAGAAGTTTTCTTCCCACGCACGATGGACGCTAATGTTTTTGTCACTTTTTATGGAATCAAACTCAAAGTAAGGTCAGTACTTCCACGCTTTAAACGCTGCACGCTCATACTCTCTCCCGCACTCGATATATTATCCATTGTTGATCTGCACACAGCTGCTGTCACCAACGTCGCACTTGCTTACGTCACTGTCATGAGACATTCTCGCAAAAAAAATCACGGTTTTAGTAACGCAGTAACGCAGCGTTCCTACGGGAAAGTAACGGTAATCTAATTACCGATTTTGCAATAGTAATCCCTTACTTTACTCGTTACTTGAAAAAAGTAATCAGATTACAGTAACGCGTTACAAGTAACGCGTTACTGCCCATCTCTGGTCAGGGGTTAAAGTTGCATTCAGCAGGTGGGGGAACCCTAAATTTGGTTGTAATGGCTCAGTGTGGGGAAACACGACTGAAAATAAATTCTACTGAGAGCTCCTGCAGATTTTCTTAGTGTAGAGGCTGTGATCAGCTGATCTGCTGCTCTTTGTGGATGGACAC